TAACTGTACCTATCTATGTACTTAGAACTAATACTTAAGACAATTATACGCTTATCTATCTCCTATAAAATTATCTTTGTACCATTACTACCTAAGTATCTGTGCTAATATTTAAATATCTTTTAATTGATACATTTTATTGTGGAGCGTTAGATTTTTACCTTTTTTTTAAATGCAAACACCGTAAAACCTCTCTAACAATATAATAAACAATTTATTTCAGACAGGACTATTCATTTTGTACAGTTGAAATTAAAACAGGAAAAATTTGTGCCCAAGTGAATAACACACGCCAAAACGATGAGACACATGGCCCTACGAGTTACTTCCCCTTCCCCTGTCCAAATAAACCAACTTCTGAAATTGAAATCAGAAGAAGTTGATTCTTTTTAAAGTCAAGGCGTGTAAACGCCTAAACGGTATGCATCAGATGATTCAGATCTGACGAAGCCTTCCACAGTTAGCTGTCACTGCCATGACGCGGCCAATAATTTCCTTCGCATTGACTGAACAGCAATTGCCATGTCTGCCGCCGTGTTTAGTTACTAATTCTTTAAACTTCCAACTTTTTCATCACATCAAAACTTTCCTACACATATAAACTTACAGCTTTTCTGTCACATTATTCCAATTTCAACTAAACTTTCAATTTTACTGTGAACTAAACACAGCCTGCATCGATCGATCGGTACCTGCACCGGTGGGAAACGCCTTTACTGCCATTGCGACCTTCTTCCGCCGGCCGTCCGGCCACAGGCCCGCGATGAATTTTCCCGGTCGTCGGCGACAGCGACGGCGAGCGACCACCATGCATGCGCCCGCTCGAGGAAACAGGACACGGGGGCACGTGAGCCCGGGTCAATTTCCGGCCACTGGCGACGCCCTGTCGGCGAGGGCCTTGTGTTGACGGATTCCGGCGGCGTGTTCGCCCGTGTGTGGTGGCTCGATCGTACGCCGCTCTCGACTTGGCCGGCCACTGGTCTCCCGGGCTTTCTCGCGCTTTTTCTTGCAGAGGAGCAAGGGTTGCAATCCGACGTGATGGAGATTGGAGAGTTGGTGATTTTTTTCTGCTCCCATTTTGTTGCTTCTTCAGGTGTCAGTTTGCAACGATTTTTTTGTTCTTTGTTGACATTCTAGCCGGAAGCCCAATATGATGGAATGGGTAGAAAGCTATTATGTGATCTTGGGCTGTGATCTGTGTAGCCATTCGGCCATTACTAGCAGTAGCAAACAGTTCACCCAATATCACTTGCTGGAGGAAAAAATATGTTTGATTTTTAAGTGAATTAAAATTCGGTTAAATCAAATAAAACTAGTGAGGTAGCTCATTGCGTGGGTAGCTTTATTTACTGTGTTTGTATTTGCTTATGACATTGGGTTTAGTTTTAGAGAGAATTCATTATATGCCACCGAGTTTACCACAAGCCTACCAATATGCCATCGACTTTTGCTTAACTTCTACAATTTATCATCGTCATCTGGTTAGCCTCCGTTAGTATTATATAATTTTATTCAAATGACCAAAATACCCTTGAGACAAAAACTTCCAAAATTTAGACAAAAATTCTAAAAAATCATATTATTAACATACAATTTTATGTTAATAATATGATATTTCAGAATTTTTGTCCAAATTTTACTACTATCTCTGTTTCACAATGTAAGTCATTCTAACATTTTCCACATTCATATTGATATTAATGAATCTAGACATATATATCTATTTAGATTCATTAACTCAATATAAATGTGAAAAATGCTAGAAGGACTTATGTTGTGAAACGGAGGAAGTATTAATCACTGAATTTAATATCATATTATAAACATTGTATGATATTTTTGAAATATTATACTATAATTATAATATGATATTTCAGAATTTAATAGCAAAGTCACCGATCCAAAATGCAATAATGCTTTTCTTCCGTTACATCGATATCTCACCTTCTGACTTTGCTATGAATCAGTGCTAAAAATAAATACCACGATATTTCGCAGGGTTCTCTTATGGAAATGACTAGCCCCAAACGAGGAATCGCAATGGGTTATCCTGCCCTGATTGAGGATGACATGAGGATCAAGTCAGCAGGAAAGCAAGAAGACGATCAGCAGCTGATCGATGGAGTACTAGGCATCCATGAGCTAGCTACGCAGAAAATGCTGCAGAAGATTCACGGGTCGCATCGATGGACATTGTGGCGCAGTCGACATGTCCATAGAATTCTTCCCAACGCAGTGGAAGCCACGGTTGAGCTCGATCATCATATCAGATGTTCGCAGCTGCTTCGATCTGTACATCAGCTCTTATGCCAGTGGATTAGCTGAAGAGTTTGAGCTGTTTCATGGCGACATTGGTGAGCCATGTGGGTTGAGAAGGTTTGTGGTCGCTGTGACGCTGGATCGCTTGTTGCACTTGAGATTTTCGTTGCTGAAACGAGGCTCCGAGAGGTCTGAAGAAGTCGCGTGTTCGTTGACAGCGCAGAAATACGGGTGTAAAACAAATGAAATATATGTTGGTCCGGCCTCATTCTCGTGAAGATTACTTGGTCAAACTGTGTCCCTAAATTGTAACAAAATTAATTCGTCCGGCCAAATTACGTGGTGATACTTACTAATTTCCCGCGTTTATTTTTCTATATGCATAGGTTAAATTTGGACTCATGTTTGCGAAGTGATAACGTTATGTTGATCTATCCCACCAATTTTTATTTGCAGAAAATCACTTTGACTTTTTTTAACTAAATGAAAAACTAGAAATATCTCCTCAAAAGACAAATATACCTTTTCCCATGAAATAAGCGAGATCAATGTTGCAGAACGATGCATTGTCCTGTGCATGGTCGATCTCAAGGGTAAACTCTTTTAATCACTCGGGGACATTCACCCGTTTCTTATATATAAATTAAATAGTTATATTTTTTTAAAAAAATAACAATCCATTTCTTATATGTCAATTGAATGGTTATATATTTTTTTAAAAAAAAACAAGATAGATTCGTATGTAATATATCACTTGACAAACTTGTAAATTCAAATTCAACTATTTATAAGTTATAAAAATAATAAATTTAACTATAAATATACATATACTAGTTAGAGTTTAATTTGTTATTTTTTAATAACTTGTATTAGTCAAATTTGAATTTATTTTTTTTAATTATTTAGTTTATATGCAAAGAAACGGGTGGAGGTTAATCCATCTTTCGATCTCAAGCTTGGTTTCTGCAGCTTCACCGGCGAGCTGATGCGCGCCTCTGTCTGCAACCTCAGTCAGCCTACTAGTCTAGCACTTGAGCCTCATCTTCTTCATCAACCTCTCTGTCTCGTCGGCCTGGTCCTGCTCCGTCGCGGCGGCGCCGGCGCCGGCGGCTGGCCGGCAGGTGGTGATCTCCGTGACACCCCGCCGCTTGTGGAGAAGCCTCCGCATCAGCGCGGGGAGGTCCATCTCGCTCCTGATCTCATCCAGCGCGTTGCGCACCCGGAGGATCTCATCCACCTTGGGCCCCTCGTAGCTGCTCGTCCTGGCCATGGCGAGCAGCGCCTCCTCCAGCCCGATCGCCGCGCCGAGGCGGGCCACGATCATGTCCAGTATCGCCAGCACGCCGCCCCCGGCCGCCGCGGCGTCGCCGTGGCCCCTGGGGACGGCGGCGGCGGCGCCGCCGTCGGCGCGGGACAGGTAGAGCGTCCCCGGCGAGACGCTGACGCTGGCGCGGCCGAGGCGGTGGCGCGGCCGCCACTTCTGCTTCGGGGACGTGTACCTCCGGTACGCGCAAACCAGGCTGTCGCCGCCGCCGCGCGGGCTGTCGTTGAGGGCGACGAGGCAGTGGGCGCGGCTGGCGTGGACGGTGAGCATCGGGGAGCCCGGGTCGGCGGCGCTGATCTCGACCACGCCGCCGTGGTAGCCCTCCTCGCCGCGCCCGACGATGCCGAGCGCGGCGGCGTACGCGTCGTCGATGATGGACAGCGCCATGCCGTCCAGCATCTCCCACGGCTGGTGCCGCTCGATCAGCGCCATGTCGTGCGCCGCCGCGTGCACGCTCTGCTCAGAGTGATCCATTGCCCCACGATCCGCCGGCGTAAGGAAATTGGTTCCCTGATATGCGCGACGCGGCGTGTCCCGGAACCTAGGGCGGATCGGATAGCCGTACGTAGGCGAGACGGGCTCCGATTCCGTGGAGGAGAAGGACACACCTCTTCTTTCGCGGTTCGTTTGCTTTGCCGCGCGATTCGCTGGGTTCGCGACTGGCCATGCGATGGGATGAGATGTCGGCGATCGCCGCCGGCGAGGCGCGGTGGCGGTGGCGGGTGGCAGGTTGGGCCGGGGTGGGCTGTATTCCTATCGTGGGCTTTATTGGTGCAGACAAGCAGAGCTGCAATCCGACGATCTTTCTAAAAAAAATTTTGGACCTTTAAAATTTTTAATTTTAAAAATAAACCCTCACAAAAATTAAATACGAAGATTTTGAAAAGGTTCGTATTTCAAAATTTTTGGATTTGTATTAAGCTTTGGGAGTGCTCAATTTTAAAATTTAAAATTAATTTAAAATTAAATTTAATTTTAAAAATAAACCTTCCCAAAAATTAAATACGAACTTTTTTAAAAAAAGGTTCGTATTTCAAAAGGTTTGGATTTGTATTAAGTTTTGGGAGTGCTCATTTTTTAAATTTAAATTTTAAAATTAAAAATTAAAATGGTTAGAAAAAAAGTTACAATCCGAAGTGAGAGACGATGGAGAATTGGATTGGAGGTGGCCTTGTGCGTTATTATTCATTTTCATTTCTTACTCGACATTGCTCTTCTACTTTCTGGCGTCAGCTTGCAACAATTTTTATTCTGAAATTCTTGCCCGGCCTGATGGGATGGATAGAAAGCCATTCTTGCGATCTGTGCAGCCATAACTTGCCAGTTGCCACCAGTTCGTCGACTATTACATAATAGGGAAATCAATTGTTTCAATATTAAACAAAAATTTTAAGTGAACCAAAGAAAATTCAGCAAAAGACAGGAAGAATCAGAGAAAGCATGTTAAGCTGAAACATGGGGCATTGGAACAGAGTCTGAACAGTATGGTTCGACCACATTTACTGATTTACAGTCACCAAGAAACTCAAAAAGAAAAATGTATTGCTGCACTTGCAGGAAGCCACTGAGGCTATTATTCAGCTAAGGGAATGTCCCAAAATTTGCAACTACACAATTGTGCCCCAAATTGCAATCCATTCCAGAAACGCTTATGACAGACCCATGACTTTGCCAGTGGCTGTGTCGACGTCGATTTCGTAGAAGCAGGGCCTTGTAGGAAGACCAGGCATTGTGCTCATGGTGCCAACCAGTGGGTAGATGAAACCGGCTCCAATGCTGGCCCTCACATCCCTGATAGGAAGCACGAAGCCAGACGGCGCGCCCTTCATGGATGGAACATGCGAAAACGAGTACTGAGTTTTCGCCATGCATATTGGGAGGTTTGAGAAGCCTTGCTTGGTATACATTTCAATCTGCTTCTCCGCCTGCACGGAAGTCAGTCAGTCAGCAGAATAAAGCAGAATGTTATGTGTTCAGTGTATCTGTCTAATGCCATTCCCACAGCATGTTCATCAGTGTCAAAAGCATGAACATCAGGGGATTCCTCTTTCAGTGTGAAATGAAAGGCATGGGAGAAAGATAGTAGATACAATCTCAAACACAGTAATCAGAATAGGAGGTAGTAGCAAGGATACCTGTTCAGAGTATTCAACGCCGCTAGCACCATAGAACTTAGCTATTGACTCAATCTTCTCCTTTATGCCAGATTCTAAAGGATACAAAAATTTCAGAGGGTCTGCCTGGCTCTCACATGCCCGTTGAACCGCGAGTCCAAGATCAACCTGAAAACAAGTTAAATGGTAGAACAGACATCAGTTTAATGCTGACGATTTCAACCTTCACACTCTTCGTAGATGGAAGAAATAAGCACAGAATTCCCATTAAAACAATATGCTAGACAATAATGGAGAAATAAAATAAGAGATGCATGGGCGTCACATATCATAACACTGTCCACAGTTTATAACTTAAGCAAACTGGAAAACCTGCCAGGAGCACAATTATTTTGAGGCAAATTTTTGCTAGGCATGAAAGAGCAAAGTCACAAAGTTTGTAAACATAATTAGGTAAAACATAAGTACCAGAACACAATTTACTGATTCACAATCAAACATTGCCCATAAAGAGTGGAAGATTTAGTTAAAAAATAGGTCAAGATGTATAGACATGACTGGATTAATAATTAATGCAATGACAGAAAACTAACCGCTCCTTTACCACCATGCGCATGGTGAGTGCAGACAACAGCATCAAAAGCACCAGCAGCCAAAGACGCATTTCGCACCACGTCCATTTCTGCTTCAGTATCTGATGCAAACTTGTTGATTGCAACTACAACATTAACTCCATAACTCTTTGTGTTTGCGATATGTTTAGCAAGATTGACGCATCCAGCTTCAACAAGAGCCACATTTTCACTCACATATGCATGATCCAAAGGCTTCCCAGCCACAACATCAGGGCCCCCACCATGCATTTTAAGAGCTCTAATTGTGGCCACAATAATAGCACACTGAGGCATTAATCCACTATATCTACACTTTATATCCATGAATTTCTCAGTTCCAATATCAGAACCAAAACCTGCCTCTGTAACTACATATCCACCCTTCCCAACCAACTTCAGTGCAATTTTATCAGCAACTATCGAAGAGTTTCCATGAGCAATATTAGCAAAAGGTCCAGCGTGCACTAACACAGGAGTGCCTTCAAGAGTTTGCATGAGCGTTGGATGGATGGCATCTTTCATTAGGACAGTCAAGGCACCCCCAACACCAAGATCATCAGCAGTAATAGGCTCACCTGCCTTGCTGTTCCCTATCACCATTCTTCCAAGCCTTTCCCTCATGTCAGCAAGGGAAGTTGTAAGAGCTAATACGGCCATTATCTCACTAGCTACAGCTATGTCAAAGCCTGTTTCTCTCACCATACCTTTTTCATCAGGGCCTTGTCCAATAGTGATTTTTCTCAGGAACCGGTCATTTACATCCATGACCCGTCTCCAAGTAATGGATTCAGGGTCTATGTCAAGTCTTGCAAAGCGTCTAACTTCATCTGGAGTAAGCTCATTAGGATCTGTCTTTGAGATTCCAAGCTTTATCAGGCGTCTGAGCATTACATCAGCAAAGCGCCTCTTTCCTTCTTTGTTTGGCGGACATAGTCTATTGAACAGCGCTTTGTCTGATTGTGAAGCCTCATGGAAAATCCTTGTATCGATAGCAGCAGCAAGAAGATTGTTTGCAGCTGTAATTGCATGGATATCTCCTGTAAGATGAAGATTGAACTCATCCATGGGTATGACTTGGCTGTAGCCACCTCCAGCAGCACCCCCCTTGATTCCAAAAGTAGGCCCTTGTGATGGTTGACGGAGGCAAGTGACAACCTATAATAGCAACATTAATATTGAGTAAAGTAGTAAAGCATATCAATAACATAATATATACTCTATAAAAAAATAAACATAATATGTACATCGATATGTCAATCGTTTCAATATGCTCTGGAATGCATAATATACTCTATGTATCAGTATCAACATTCGCCACTTATACTACGTTCATGATGGTTAGAGACATATAAAGAACCATGCAGTCTATCATGACTGTTACAAGAAACAAATAAAGTCATCCCAGACCCCCAGAACAGAGCATTGTATCAAGTATTTAAACATTAGGATTTTGTTTTTCCTGAAAATTGCTTGGTGAGAGAGAATTTATCAACATGACTCTTGCAGGCAAATATAAATAAACACAGAGAGTTCAGTTCTACCATGGAGTTCTGACAATGCACCAATGAAGATTTGATATTAATAAGTTTGACAAATAAATCAAACCAAACTGACAGAATTCTTGATTCCACTAGACCACTGCAGAATTTAAAAAGGACAGTGCCTGCATCCAATATACAGGTGCTAGTGTGCTACTACGACAGCATAAAAAGACTTAAATCTAATCAACAAAGCTCACAGGCTGATACTATTGTGCCAAGCAAACTGATTGTTTACCTCAACACCAATCACAAACTTTATCTATAACCAATAAGTAACCAAGATACCCTGTCGATTATAGAACAAGCGAAAGTGGCATGGAAAGCCTCTCACCTTTTTATCAAGAAACGCACCCAGCGCCTGGCACAGCCCAACGGTGGTGGTCGACTTGCCCTCCCCGAGCGGCGTCGGCGTGATGCCGCCGACCACCACGTAGTACCCATCCTGCTGCCCTTTCAACTCATCAAGAACAGACAGCAACACCTGCAAAAAAGAACAAGCGAAAAAAAAAATCATCAACAAATCGCATCGCATCGCGCGACAACCCAATCCGCATCTTTGGAAGCGGCGCACGCACCTTGGCCTTGTACTTGCCGTAGAGATCGAAGTGCTCGGGGCGCAGGCCGAGCTCCGCGGCGATGTCGGCGATGGGGAGCGGCGAGACGGCGTTGGCGATGTCGATGTCCGCCGGCACCGGCGACGCCACGTCCAGCCTCCGGATCGTCGGGCTCGGCTTCGGCGTCGTCATCGGCACCACCAGCGGCGGCGGCAGCGGCGGCGCGACGGCGGCGCTGGATCTCACACGCAGCGAGCGGTGGTGGTGGTTCGAGTGCGAGAGCGGCGGATGCGAGACGACTGAATGGCAATTGTTTATTGCCGCACGACGACGATGGCATTTGATAATCGAGGATAAAGATTTCGGATAATTGGTTGGTGGGACAGACACATCCATGACGCAAACACCTCCCCCAAATAATACAGCCACAAAACCCCTCAAATATCCCACCTTTTTCACTTCAAGATTACCAAGAACCCTCAAATTCCTAACCTTTTTCACTGCAAGATATTTGGGGCCAACACCAAGAAACACTTCTCACTGTACTGAGCTTTATACCCTTCCTGTGCAGCCCCAATTCTTCGGGAGTTGTGGATCTGGGTTTTGGGAGGATGGCAGGGGTTTTGGCTGCTCTTATCTTGGATTGGTTGGATGGAAAATGGACTGCAATCCACAGGAGAAGATAAGGGTTTTTTGTGTGGAGATGCGGATGTGAGCGATGATGATGTTGTTGCTGGGTTGCAAACGGTGATGCGTGCACAAGATTGGGGCTTTTGAAAGAGCCAAGTGTGTGCTCTTTTTATAGGTGATTTTGCTTGAGATTTTGGGAACAGTTCATGAACATTGCATGTGAAAAAACTCTACTGGCGTGCACGTAATGCAGTGGGTGAAAAGAAAAAAAAAAGGAACTTTTTTCCCTTTCTCTTCTTGTCTTCGTTGAACATTGCTGTAAGCCTGTAACTGCATTGGAGTTGATATGATCAGTGAGCTGTAGGACACATCATCTCTGGATTTTGCTGTGACAAAAAGAGGATCTCATGTCCCAACCACACTCAAGAAAAAGCAAGTAATGGGACGAACAATCTGGTAGAGAGTGGTCCAAACCACGTCCGTTTTGCTTGGTTTGTAAGCGTGATTCCCTTGGATTTTGAGGTTTTGGGGAGGTCAATTCCCCTGGGTTTTGAAGGGTTTAGGGGTTCATTCACGAGGGCATTGAGGCAGATAAGAAATGCTAGCCAACCATGCTCCATGCATAGGGAGACGCCTTCTTTTTCTAATCCTGGATTAGGGATGCCATGGTCCATGGCATGCATTACCAGACGAGTTGGTCAACTCATGCCGTTTGATCCGGGCGATTTGGATCTTGGGACAATGAGGCCCGTTGGTTTACTCTGAATTTTTTCCTTGGTGAAGCCCAACTGAAAAGTTAGGCCTAACAGTTTGATCTGACGTTCGATGGGCTGTTCTACTTCTATCCCACCGATAAGGGCTAAGAAACATAAAGAACCATTTATTTAAATTTGTTAATAAAATTCAAAATAGAAGTTTCAGAAATATCATTGTACTATCTGAGAATTAAGCCTCACGAATCAACAACATACGGCAATCTTTTTTTTTATCTCCCAACGTTCTCGATGGTACTGAGCAAATTGAGCCAATGTAAAATGTTACAGTACCATTAACAAAAATAACAACCAAAATTCACTATGTAGTATTGACATGCATACAAATCAAACGAAATGAATCGGATCAAAGAATGGTGAACATCCAGCAAGCAACAGGAGCAATATATCATCCATTTTAGCTCCGCGTACTTGTCGCAACAAATCAATTCAAACACTGGCACCTCTCCTCTCTCAATCCTTCTTCCGGCCATCGACGACGGCCACCACGGGCGACGGCTCCCCGCCGGCGGGCATGTCGGAGAGCGCGGCGAGCATGCGGCGGACGGCGCTGACGGAGCGCGCCGGCCGCCGCGGGGCGCCGCCGCCCTGCAGGCTCTGGGCCCTGGAGAAGACGTCCGACGACTGCGCGAGGATGAGGTACACCAGCGCCTGCACCAGCACGAACACCCACATCTTCACCAGCGCCTCGTGCGAGCTCGCCGCCGCCTCCATTGCCGGACACACTCTTCTTCTCGAGCTCCGGTGACACAAACGTACGCAACAAGTGCGAGAGCAGATCAATCAACTTATCAACCGAATCTTCGATCTTCTTCTGCTGCTGCTGCTGCTGATGCTTGTGTGATTGATTTGTGTGGGGGAGGATCGGATTGAAGCTTTATATATATAGACGTCGATCGACGACGTACGGTCGCCGGGTTTGACCGTGGCCGGAGGCCGGAGGCGAGCGTTCAGAGTGTGCAGAGATGCTTCCAAGGCGATGGCGAGTTGAAGTGTTCGACGTGCGCACGAGTTCGCATTGGTGCGCGTCGTCGTCACGCGTTCGGTGAAAAAGTATATCGAGTTTGGCGCGGCCGTCACGGGTGAACTCGCTACGTGAGCCGGTGGTGGTTGTTTCGCGGGTCAATGGTCCTCCCTGTCACTGGGATTAGAATGCAGGGGAAAAATACTACTCCATCCGTAATATTTGACGCCGTTGATTTTTTAAACATGTTTGATCGTTCATTTTATTAATTTTTTTATTAATTCTTTTTCTATCCTTTGATTCATTGTTAAATATATTTTTATGTATACATATATTTTTACATATTTAAAGAGAAATTTGAATAAGACGAACGGTCAAACATATTTAAAAAAGTTAACTACGTCGAATATTTAGAGACGGAGGAAGTACCTTTTTGGCATATATGTTTATTTTTTAAATTTGTTTGACTGTTCGTATAAAAAATAAACAAATGTATAAGACATGCTGAAGGGTACTTTTGGTGTAGTAGATCTAATGTTACTCTTTTCACTTTACTTATAACTAAGTGAATAAATATTTTTGTTAAACTCTGAGAGAAAAAGTCAACAATATCGTAGTTTACAAAATCGTCTGTAATTGTCCAAGCAACTTTATATAGTGCACAATTGTTTTCACATATCTATGAATGTACCCCCTCAATATATACTCAAAGAGATGAAAACCACGATTAAATCTTGACATCACTAAAATCCTATTGAAAAAGGCGTTGTGGAGACTAGATAATTAATAGTCTTTTAAGTGGCCTGCTACTTTCTTCGATTGGCCAGCCACTATCTCCAAACGTTGACAACATGCTAAAGAAATGGAAACCATAGTCAAATCCTAGCATCATTAAAATCCTATTGAAAAGGTATTGTCAAGCTCGGACAACTGATAGCGATTTTCAGTGACCTGCCACTGTATCCAAACTTCATTAGCAATCGGCAGTAGAAACGCAATGGCAAAGCCTGGTTTGCCTCCTAATCAATATGGGAGCTGGCTTGGACATATGTGCAATATCTGTAGATATAGATGGCCATGTGGGCTGCCCGGCACGGCACGGCCTAGGCCCGGCCATGCCTGGGCTGAGGCTTGTCGGGCCGGCACGGCCCGACCGATGCACCGGGCCATGCCGTACCAGTCCACGTGCCACGCCCAGGCACGGCCCAACATGCGTCGGGCCGTGCCAGGCCGGCCCGAAGGCACGATGGGTCATCGTGCTTTTCCTCAGAATAAGTCTCATTTTCCTCCCTCCTATCGGGCTGTGACATATATATAGCTAAAAATAGTCTATTTTACCTCCCTCTTCTTTGGGCTGTGGTATATAAATAGCTAAATAAGTCTATTTAAGGTCCCTATTCTTTGGACAATGACATTTATATGTCTATTTTTAGTCCCTACACTTTATGTGGCGGGCCTGGCCTGCCGGCCCATCGTGCCGTGTCGGATCAGCCCAGCGTGCTGGTAGGGAGGCCCAGACACGGCCCGTCGGTCGAGCCGGGCCGGCACGGGCCCAACCCAAGTCGGGCCATGCTGTGCTTGGGCCAGACCAAAAAGCCATGCCGTGGGCCGAGCCTTCGGGTCTTATGGCCATCTATATCCGTAGACCGTAGTCATTGGGGTTTAAAACCTATTGGATTGGAGTCATGCATGCACATGCATGCCTCCAATTTTATAATGGTTGATTGAGGAATAAATAAATGGGCTGGTACCTTGTCAACTTATCTTTGGTAAACACATCTTAACGGGGAAAAAAGTTATTGGTCATTTCCTAAAAACTGTGAAATAATTTACTGATCGATCAATTTGTTTATTTTAGACGTACGGTTTGATTCCTCGAACCGAACTTCCCATAAGCAAATGATTAAGCAAAATAGCTTTTTCCATTTGCCTCTAGAGCTCAACGTTTTTATTTAGAGAGGTTCATCCGTGCTGGGAATTGATTACGACCGTTGATCGTCTCTAATCCAATGCATCAGGATAAAAGGTATGATGGAAAAGGTACTTAAAAGGTGAACCAGGTATAGAAGGTAAAAGGTTAAAATGGTAATTGATTTTCATGGTTTATTTGTACCATTAAGGGCAAATACATACAAACAACTTTTACCTACCTGTTCACGTCCGTTTCCTGATCCCTCGATCTCGGGTTGAGTTTAGTAGAGGCTGCAACTGATTAATCACCGATTAGTCGGATGAGATTAGCATGCACCGGCATGGTGCTTAATTAGTTTCTCAACGTGGCTGATCTGCGTAATTAAATGCTCAACAATTAGCCACAAAATATCTTCTTCGATCATATGCTAGCAGCTTAGAAATTAAGCGCATCAATTTCGCAAGGAATCAATTACTCCAATCTTTTCAATTCCATTTAACAGCTTCACAACAATGAATCAATGCTTCAGCGTTCTGTAATCATCAGCAATGGCCAGAGTCCAGCAGCAGCAGCAACAACAACATTACGCAACATTCAACAACAATCAGATCAACCGCCGTACGCCCTATGCACCGGCGCTCAGCATCAGCACAGGATGCCACTGGCCAGCGGATGGGTACGGGGGTTGAGGAATTACTAATCTACCCTAGTTAACAATATTTTTTATTTCTAAATTATCCTTTCAGAATCAACGGTTGATATTAATTGACTTAGGAGGTACCCAGGTACCTCCCAAGCATTGTAAAACCCCTCATTAATTTATTTATCATTGCTGCACACAGTCACTTACGCGGTTACACGTGCAGTGAAAAGTAAAAGCTAAGTACGAGTAGGACACAAAACTTTCCGTGTCGTTGCTGAGTCAGCTGGGATCTGATCCAAATCAAAATAGATCAGAGGTGTTTGGTAGAATAACTTTCAAAGCTCCAACCAAGACAAAATACTGTTAGTAAATGATAGTTTCCTTTATTTGTATGGTCAGGTTTCTTTGAAGTTTGAATTCGATTCCCGTCGAAATAACTTACGAAATGTTTGCAAGTGGTAGAACCAAAAATGATCTAGGGGCAGGGCGTTGATTTAGGAGATCCAAGGTCAAAGACAACATTTTGATGTGTACTTAACTCATGAGATAGTGATAGGTGCATCATATGCTCGTAGAGTCGGGCCTAGACGACCCAAACTGTGAGCTTAACTCATGAGCTGCAGATTTACCTGCGTTCGAGAAAAAAAGCTGCAGATTTACCTGCATATCAGCAATGTAGGAGTAACAACGAATGCTTAGCCTCACTAATCAAAGAAAGAATCCGTATTTCTTGACAAATCGTAATAATCCCATCTCCAAATCTGTTTAATCACAGACTGTTGACTGACCTTAGGTTGTGTTTAGATCCAAACTTTGAATCCAAACTTTCAACTTTTTCCATCACATCAACTTGTCATAAACACATAATTTTTCAGTCACATCGTACCAATTTCAACCCAAACTTACAACTTTAAAAGGAACTAAACACAGCCTCAATATAGCAATTGGTATTTGTAATTTGTGCCTGTCACCAGTCACGACTCAATCAGTGTGTTGCTGCCGCTGACGGCTGATTTCCATGTAATTAAGCAACCTGCGGCAAATCCTCCTGATCCGGCGTTCTCCCGGCAGAGACCGCCGCCGGTGATCGGTCGCAGTCGTCGTCGTCGGCGGCGGCGATGGCACGGCCTCTTGGTCGGTCTCCGTCGGCGGCGACCATGGCGGCGCGGTCTCCTCAGTACGCATCGGGACGCTGCGGCGGCAGACCGGGCAGGTGTTTCGCAGCGACAGCCACTGCGCGATGCAGTGGGCGTGGTACAGGTGGCCGCACGGGAGCCTGGACGCCGGCGACGCGAGCTGGAGGGCGTCGGTGCAGACGGCGCAGGCCGCCGCCGCCGCCGCGTCGTCGGAGACGGTGACAGTGATCACCGTGGCCAGCGCCGGTCGAGACGACGATGGGCCTGACACGAAGGAGGAGTCGTGGATGGAAGACGTCGGTGGACCACCGGCGTGCGGCGGCGTGTCAGGATCGGAGGAGATGAAGTAATCCGAGGAGAGAAACGGCGGCGGCGGAGGAGGAGGCGGCAGCAGCAGCAGCTCAGTGGAGAAGGACGACGACGACGACGAGGGTTCCCGCCGTAGCAGCGGCGGCGGCGGCGGCAGTAGCTCTGTGGAAAAGGACGATGACGACGGCGAGGCTACGCGCCGCCGGAGTAGTGGCTTTGCCGGAAGCGTCGGCAGCGGCGGGGGTGGAGGCGGCGGCAGTTCCAGCTCTGTGGAGACGAACGATGACGACGACGATACGCGGGAGAGTGGCAGATGCGGCATCGCCGTGGCCGAGGAAGACGGCGACGAGGGGTGGTCGTACTGGCCAAAGAAGTAATCCCATGTCTCTAAGTCCGGGAATGGCGGCGGCGGCGGCGGAGGCGGCGGCGAGCGGCTGGCCATGGCGGCGGAGGTGGACATGGTGGTTTTCCACTTGTATATCAGGGGATCGATCTCGTTGGCTTTGGTAAACTGTTTTAGCAGCCAGTGGTCCACCCGTTTATAGTATGTCATCTAAATAGTTATAAAAGATATTAAAAATATATAAATAAGATAGATCAATATGTAATATATATCAATCGTAAAATTTAACTTCTACAGTAATCTATAGAAGTTGCTGTAGAAGTTGAATTTGAATTTGTATATTTGTGGAGTAATATATTATATATTAATCTATCTTATCAAATTTTTTGAAAATTTTTCGTAACCATCTAGTTGACATAAAATAAATTGGTGGACGTCCACTTGAGTTAGAATCCTCTCCCCGTTGGCTTTTGCTTTGCTTTTTCTCTTGCGCGTTGTGCTGCTGCTGCTGACGATACGGGTGACTGGTTCGCGCCCTTTTTTTTTTCTCTCCCGCGTTTTTGTGACTTAATCACGAAGAACTTCGACGTGAATGGCCAATCAAAAGTTAATCCCACTTAATTAGTTACGTGTACTTACATGGTTGATGGGTGCACTTGTAATTAACCTCTAGAATATGATACTGCCCATATGAATGGATAATGATTGTACTACTACTACCTGAATCTTGGAGTAGAGTTATGAAAATACAGTAACACATTTAACAGTTTAACACCGGCAGTGAC